TGGGTGGCTTCCAACATATATAAAAACATAATAAAACATTAAACTTTTTTTTTAAAACTTCCCTATACAGAATTGCCTTCAGGCAGCTCGGGAGTCAAATAACTCCACACCCTCCAACATTTCTCCAATGAAAATAGGGATGTCCTAAGGAAAAGTGGGACATTCTGGGATCAAATCAGAAACCGGGACAGCTTCTCTAAATCAGGGAAATCCCTGGAAAATAGGGACACTTGGAGGATCTGCTCTGACACCCTGGCATCTACAGTGGTACCTCGGGTTAAGTACTTACCGTAATTTGTTTCGGAGGTCCGTTCTTAACCTGAAGCACCACTTTAGCTAATGGGGCCTCCCGCTGCCGCTGCACCGCCAGAGCATGATTTCTGTTCTCATCCTGAAGCAAAGTTCTTAAGCCAAGGTACTATTTCTGGGTTAGCGGAGCCTGTAACCTGAAGCGTATGTAACCCGATGTAACACTGTATTTATTTTTAGTGATAAATTGTGCCAAATTCAATCAGCCCACTGTAATTTTGTCGGGCTCCCCAGTTTTTGCAATGCAGCACCATGTGGCCTGCAAAGCTCTGTAGCAAACTGCTCAGTCCTCTACCATCAGTCTCAGACAGGAACAGGAAGACTCAGAAAAACCCTGCTTCAGGTGGTGGATTCTGACGTAAAGCATGCATGGGTGTGCATTCACCAAAAATTGTATAGTGGAGGTACCAGGTGCACCTCTGTGGGGAGGGAATTCCACAACTTTGGGGCTGCCCCAGAGAAAGCCTTTTCCCAGGCTGCCACCCCCTGAACTTCTGCAGGATTTGGAACCACAAAGAGACCCACTCTGTTGATCTTAACACCCAGGAGGACCTGCATTGAAGGAGGTGGTCTTTCAGATATTTGGGACCTAAGTTATTTAGGGTATTAAACACTAATGTGAGCACCTTGAATTGGGCTCAGAAATAAACTGGCAGCCAATGCAGCTGTTTTAAAATATGAAATCTAAAGGGAACTGCAGCCAGGAACCAGGCTGCTGCATTTTACACCAGTTGAAATTTCTGAGCCATCTTCAAGGGCAGCCCCATGCGGACCACATTGCAGTAATCCACTCTGAAAGTTACCAGAGCAGGGAGTACTGTGGTCAAGTCACCACTGTGCTAGAGAGGTCATAGCTGGTGAATCAGCTGAAAGAAGGTTACCCAATGAGCTTCATAGCTTCATTAGCTGAGCAAGCACTGGAGCCATGCTCTCACCAGTTTAAGGCTGGATCTACAGTGATCTTCTGAACGTTATAAAGCTTAATGTTCTATAATGTTTAATGGCAGTTTCCCTTTGCCGGCGGCTCACTGCTCTGCAGCCCCCCATGGTGTCACATTTTAATAACACATTTTAAACATTATAAACAATGAGTGTAGGTCCGCTCTAAGTGTGATGCTAACTAGCATACCTTTGGATAATGTGCTAGGTTCTTCCCATCCCCCTTCTCCTCCCAAAAATAAAAAAATAAAAAATACATTCGAGTAAGAATTCTGCAGCAGGCAAGGCTAGCCAGCATGGTGGTTGACAGATGTTGCTGGACTCCAGCACCAAAATAATTCTTCTTTTGAGCATTTAATGAGAAGCACCCTTTTAGAATTCTGGGTCTCACCTCTTCACCCTGCACACACGTCTTTCTTCTGCACACACGTCTAGACTATTCATCTGCTTTGTTTACTAACAAGGAATTTTTGTTTGCTCTGAATTGCTTTAATACACATCTGACACCCCGTGTTCTAGCATTTTTTAAATTAGAAGTGTAGACTATTAATCCCAAGCTGTTGGTGATTTTTTAAAAACAAAATATAATAAACAGCCACCCACAGGATTGAAACCAACAATTTTTAATCACTCATGTAACACTGTATAATGGGGGAAAGCTCAATTGTCTTCGCAACCATGTCATCAAGTGAGTCATAGCTGTCCCTATTATTAAAATCGGAAGCTGAGAGACCTTTTAATCTGTCAGGGGTGGGGAATTTTTTTCCAGCCCAGGGGCCACATTCTCCTGTTGGCAATCATCTGAGAGCCACATGCCGGGGTGGGTGGAGCCAGAGAGAAAAGAGAGTGGAGCAACTAAATTCAGCTTTATGCAGTAGGTTTGTTTCTACACCCATTCACACAGCGTTGTTTGGAGACCCCTATATCCTCCCTCCCACCCGAGCTAAAATTTCATACCCTCCAACATCCTGCAGGAGAAAAATCAGGATGCACATCTTTTGGGGCCACACTCTTGCAGCAGCCAACTGACTTGCATGAGAACAAAGTCCCCCAAAACACGCATCATACATGGCCATGCTCTCAGGAGAGCCAGGTGACTCATGTGAGAACATGACTCCCTAAAATGGGCGTCTTTGGGGACGACAGTCTTGAGACAGCCAAAATGGGACATGCCGCCAGGGCGTCTCCTGTAATTCTGGGATGTTCCGCTTGGGACAGTTGATAGGTATGCAATTCCCAGAGTGGTTCAACTATCAATCCCTCTTCCCAGGGACCTCTGTGAACTGTACCTGTGGGAGAGTATCAGGGATCTTCCAACAGTGGTGTAGCATGGGTTGCCAGAGCCCGGGGCAGGCAAGCTGCTAATGCAGCCTGAGGGCCCCCACTGGAGCCAAGCTGGGCTGCGCTGTGCCATCTGCCTGCATAGGGGGGAGCCTGAACCTTGGCAGGGGAATCCCCCTGACACCTGTGGAGAAGAGCACCGGGCCTCTCTGGGGTTGTCCCTTACCCAATTCCCTCTATCCACACCCACTCACTGTGGGCCTGAGCTGCTCTGCCGCTTTTGAGGTGGGGATCACTGTGGAAGCTGGCATCTGTGGGGGAGGGACCTGGTTTTATCCCCCCAGAATTTTGCACCCGGGGCCATGGCTCCCCTGCCCTACTCACACTACGCCACTGTCTCCTAATTATGCTCAGCATCCTGAACAAACTACAGCTCCCAGAGTTCTCTGGGGGAAGCCATGACTGTTTAGTGTTGTATCATAGTGCTTTAAATGCATGGTGTCAAAGTGGCCTTGGTTGAATTAGTATAAGGCAGTTTCAAGCAGCTCATCCTGACTCAAAGCTGCTTCCTCATTTGGATGGTGACTGGGAGTGGCTGCCGAGACCATATAACACCGGTCATGAAAGACCTACCGTATTTTTCGTCCTATAGGGCGCACCGGCCCATAGGACGCACCTCATTTTTTTGGGGGGGGAATGAATAAAAAAAATTATTCCCCCCCCCTGCCGCGGCTGCCGCCCCAAGCCTTGTGCACACCTGCAAGAAGCACGGGGCACCCTCCGGAGGGCTCCGCGTGCTTCGGGCTGCAGGCTACCGCCCCAAGCTTCGCGCGCTCGGCGGGACCTCCCACCGGGCATGCGAGGCTTGCAGACACTCGCCCAAAGCACGGGGAGCCCTCCGGAGGGCTCCCCGTGCTTCGGGCGACAGGCTGCCGCCCCAAGCCTCGCGCGCTCGGCGGGACCTCCTGCCGGGCGCGCAAGGCTTGCAGACACTCGCCCAAGCACGGGAGCCCTCCGGAGGGCTCCCGTGCTTCGGGCGACAAGCCTGCCGCCCCAAGCCTCGCGCGCTCGGCGGGACCTCCTGCTGGGCGTGCAAGGCTTGCAGACACTCGCCCAAAGCACGGGGAGCCCTCCGGAGGGCTCCCCGTGCTTCGGGCGACAGGCTGCCGCCCCAAGCCTCGCACACTTGGCGGGACCTCCTGCTGGGCGCGCAAGGCTTGCGGACACTCGCCGGGGCTGCAGGCTGCTGCCTGCAAGCCTTGTGAGCCTGCGGGAACTCCCACCGGGCTTGCAAGGCTTGCGGATAGCTTCCTGAAGCCTGGAGAGCGAGAGGGGTCGGTGCGCACCGATGCCTCTCGCTCTCCAGGCTTCAGCGAAAGGCTGCATTCGCCCCATAGGACGCACACACATTTCCCCTTCATTTTTGGAGGGGAAAAAGTGCGTCCTATGGAGCGAAAAATATGGTACATTGGCTCCCAGTACGTTTCCAAGCACAATTCAAAGTGTTGGTGCTGACCTTGAAAGCCCTAAATGGCCTTGGCCCAGTATACCTGAAAGACCATCTCCACCCCCATCATTCTGCCCAGACACTGAGGTCCAGCTCCGAGGGTCTTCTGGCGGTTCCCTCACTGTGAGAAGGGAGGTTACAGGGAAGCAGGCAGAGGGCCTTCTCAGTGGTGGCACCCACAACTGTCTGTTTTAGAAGACATCTGAAGGCAGCCCTGTTTAGGGAAGTTTTTAATGTTTGATGTTTCCTTGTGCTTTTAATATTCTGTTGGGAGCCACCCAGTGTGGCTGGGGAAACCCAGCCAGATGAGATGGGGTAGAAATAAACTATTATTATTATTATTATTATTAGGCATGATACCCCCTACAGCCTGCTTGCTTTTCCAAGCTCCCTCTGATGGGGAGGCAGCTCCATCCCTTTGAGTCCTTCCATTTCCATTAAGCGCTTCTCTTCCTTATCCAACCCCCCCCCCATCTTATTTCAATTACTTCGGCGTCTCTCATGCTATTTAGATAATGAGGGTTTCTTTCCAGGGCCTGCTTAAGCATAATTCAATTACCTTGCAATGTGACACCAGAGACACATTGGAGAACCACATTTGATGATATCACCGAGAAGGGCAGCCCTCCTCTTGCCCCGGAGGCCACCACCTGCTCCATGCAGCCGTGATTCAGGCTACAGGCAACAGCTTGGATGGTGGCTCCTTGCTTCTGTATGGTATTATGGATGTGCAGAAGGCTGCATGGACAATATCATAGGGAAATGTAGTGGGGGAGGGGGGGGCTAGAGCAGCGGACATGACATATTTGTGGGAGGTAGGGAAGCAATGTGAAGGAGGGAGGAGATAACAGAGGCCCAGGAAGCTGGTTGGAGACCTCATGGATGCTCTTTGCTCTTTGATTAAAATAACTGAGGCTTTCTATTTGGGTTTTTAGGCTCTTTATATAGTGATGGCCAATGTAGATGGCCAATCTGGGTGGCTTGAACCCATGACCTTAAGAGTTAGAGTCTCCTGCTCTACCAACTGAGCTATCCCATATAGAGCTTGTTGTTTAGTCGTTTAGTCGTGTCCTACTCTTCGTGACCCCATGGACCAGAGCACGCCAGGCACTCCTGTCTTCCACTGCCTCCCTCAGTTTGGTCAAACTCATGCTGGTAGCTTCGAGAACACTGTCCTACCATCTCATCCTCTGTCGTCCCCTTCTCCTTGTGCCTTCAATCTTTCCCAACATCAAGGTCTTTTCCAGGGAGTCTTCTCTTGTCATGAGGTGGCCAAAGTACTGGAGCCTCAGCTTCAGGATCTGTCCTTCCAGTGAGCACTCAGGGCTGATTTCCTTCAGAATGGACATATAGAGCTGATAACAACCAATTCCATCATTGTTCATATCAATGTTACTAAGCATCACCAAAAGGGCAAATTCCAGAAACTGAACTACTTCTCAACTGCAGCTGGCTCAGCCTCAAACAACACAAAGCACTTTCTGATCTTTGTTAATCATATTTAGGTGGGGATGATACAAAGCTACTGATATATACAGACAAACAATCCGCCCACCAACCATCTGAAAATGACAATAATAGGCTGTGGATCCACAATGCTTGCTTGTTCAAGGAGAATAAAGAGATGGGAGAAGAATAGACTGATAAGCTGTTGCTGCTGGAGGGAAAGATGGGCTATGCTTAAGTGCACTGGAGAAATTGCTTCGGGGGAGCATTGCTTTGTGAAAATAATATGGGCATTTGAATGCAAGCAATTGTCTGCATGTTTGCATTGAAAGGAAGGAAGAGAGCGTGCAGGTGAAAAGTTTCTCTCTCTCTCCCTTGGAGTGGGTGAAGGAGGTGGCTCTCTCAGGACATGAAAGTTTGGAGTCAGTTGAGCACCAAGAAAAGTAGAACTCCTTTCGACAGATGCCTGGAAAATCCCTGGCATTTGCCAAAGGGAAATATATATATATGATTGGGCTCTTTACTGCTTAGTGCAATCAAGGACACATCTAAAGGAATTAAAAACTGCATTGAATAGGGTTCTTTCTGAGCTGTGGTTTTATAGGTACTTATCAGTGCCGTTTATTGCATTACTGTTGCCATTGTGTGATTTAATGATATATTTTATTTCTATGGAATTATGTTTTCAGATTTCTGTTTTTTGTTCAGCCATACAGAGGAAGGGTGGGGTATCAAAAACATCATATTTTTTTTAATGGAACAATGTTGTTGCCAGGGCCTCCTTAATGGGTCAAGAGTAGTGATGAGGGAGAAATGCATTTTAATGAAAACTTATCTAGTTCACACTAATTCCCCAAACCACGCGTTAGCTGAAATGCAGCTAATTCTCACTCCTCTATTTGGTTGCAGTTTTCCAGCCAAATAATTCATAGAAAAATCTATTAGGGGAAATGTGCTTTCAAAACAGTGCTATTTTTCTAGAAAAAGAAATGCCAGAACTCACCTGTTCTCTTATCATGGTGATAGCACCCTGCTGAGAGGTGCCACAACTGAGTTCTGGCAAGGTCAAGCTGGAAAAAAAATTCTGCTTAAAAATATGTATGTTCGTGAAAATAATGTGTGTGTTTGTGTGTATTTGTGGTGGGTGGATGTTAATGTGGAGATGTGGTGAAATGAAGCAAAAAATCAACAGGTTTTTCCATTCCTAGTCAAGAGAGTCCACTTGGTTGCCAAATAGCATGGGGGAAAGTCCTGTTGCAAAGCTGGAAAGCTGGAAAGCTGCAGTTGCAGTTGAATAACCATTAGTCTTGTTCATTTGACTGGTGGATGATCTGTGAGTGGAAGAATGAGGACACAGATCTTCTTTAAATAGTAAATGGTTAAAGAGCTTCAGAATGTTGATGACAACGTAGTGTGTGTACACTCAGAGGAAGACCTCCAAACAATCCTAAATACCTTCACAGAAGCTTATGAAAACCTGGCCCATCACTCAACATCCAAAAAACCAAAGTGCTGCACCAACAAGCACAAAACAACCCCTCTGCAGTGCCACAAATCCAAGTCAATAGTGTAACATTGGAAAGTGTCAATCACGTCTCCTACCTGCGCAGTTATCTTTCCACAAGGGCCGACATTGATGCTGAAATCTAGCATCGCCTGAGCTCTGCAAGTCCAGCTTTCTTCCGATTGATGGAAGTGCAGCTTCCATCAACAGTGTCTCTGAAATTTTTTACACATCACTTGGGAAGATAGGCGAACTAATGCCAGTGTACTGGAAGAAGCAAAGATCACCAGTGTCGAAGCAATGATTCTTCAACATCAACTTCATTGGACTGGTCATGTTGTGCAGATGCCTGATTATCATCTTCCAAAGCAACTACTCTATTCCAAACTTTAAAATGGAGAGTGTAATGCTGGTGGTCAACAAAAGAGGTTTAAAGACTGTCTCAAGGCAAATCTAAAAAAAGTAGTATAAACACCAACAACTGGCAAACACTGGCCTGCAAGTGCTCCAATTGGAGAACAGCCTTTACCAAAGGTGTCATGGGCTTTGAAGACACTCGAACTCAGGATGGAAGGGAGAAACGTCCTAAGAGGAAGGCATGCTTGGCAAACCTCACTGTGATCAACTCCCACCCGCAAACCTATGTCCCCACTGTGGAAGGATGTGTGGGTCCAGAATTGTCCACAGTCACGTATGGACTCACTGTTAAAACCGTGATCATGGAAGACAATCTTACTCAGCTACAAGTGATTGCCAAAGAAGAAGAAGAAGAGTGAATGAATGGAATTTGCTCATGCAGCAGCTGAGATAGCTCAGTCAGTAGACCATGAGACTCTCAGGGTTGTGGTTTCAAGCCTCCTTCAGGTGAAATATTTCTGCATTGTGGGGGCGTTCAGCTAGATGACCCTTGTGATTCTTCCAACTCTACAATTCTATGGTTCTATGAGGCAGTGAGAGCCACCAACCTTGGTGACCATAGACACATTCCTGGAGGGAATGGGAAACCAGATATTGCAGGATTCCAACTTCCATTAGCTCCAGCCAGCATGTCCAGTAGTCAGGGAGGAGGGGAGTTGTAGTCCAATTAGGCAGCAGTTGATGCTGGAAACCCTGAAGTGCTGCCACTTCAGGAGGAGGCAATACCAGGCTAGCTGGAGAAAATGTCTGGTCTGGTGTAGAGCAGCCTCCCAAAGTATGCATTGCATTATTGGGTATTGGATATGGCTTTACTGGATTTTATGTTAGTAGCTGACCTGGGAAAGTTGGGTTATATATTTTTAATGTTCCTTTTCATTTCCTCCATTTAAGTTTCCATTGCTATTTGGATCCCTGAGCATTTCAGTCAATCTCTTCAATTAAATAGCATATGGTATCTACTGGCAAATTGGGGGCAGCAGGTGTTTTACAGCCATGGGTGAAAGCAGACTTCTGTCAGTCAGGAGAAATGGGGAGAGAGGAATCTTTTTAAAATGCAAATGTTGAGTCTTTTTTTAGGAGCCACAAGAAAAACCCACAGAGTAAACACATCTGTCTTTGGATGAGCTGGGAGAGTTTTAAGGCTCAGGAACACATTGAAGCCTGGATATTTGGAGAAAGTTTAATGGGTAAAGACTGGCTGCTTTCATCCTTATAGCTGAGAAAAGCAGCCCCCCCCCCAATAAAGCATTAAGTATTGTCAATTTCGGATTTTAGGGGGGGCATAGTCCCCAGGGTAAAGTAGAGACAGAAACAAAGCAAAAGAAGTTGCACCATCCCCTACATAAACACACACTGAGGTATTTGCAACCCCTTCATGGACTCATAGAATTGTAGAGTTGGAAGGGACCCCAAGGGATCTAAGGATCATCTAGTCCAGCCCCCTGCAATGCAGGAATTGAACCTACAACACTGAGATTAAGGGCCGTCATGCTCTACCAGCTGAGCTGTCGTGAATGAATTCCTGCAGGATGTGCCACCCAGCTGAATTATTACTTGGCTAGTTGTGACAACTTTGCCCCTTCAATGCAATTAAGCAGGAGTAAGGATGGGCCTTAAAAACAGCTGTAGTGGCTCGGTTTGTTGGAGAGAGGGCCACACACAACCTTGGCCAACCTTCCAAGGGATGCATGTGTGTGACTGAAAGTGGGGATGGCCACTCAATGCTCTTTCAGAGAGGAGGAGCAAAGAAGAAGAAGAAGAAGAAGAAGAAGAACAAGAAGGGGAGGAGTTTGGATTTGATATCCCGCTTTATCACTACCTGAAGGAGTCTCAAAGCGGCTAACATTCTCCTTTCCTTTCCTCCCCCACAACAAACACACTGTGAGGTGAGAGGGGCTGAGAGACTTCAGAGAAGTGTGACAAGCCCAAGGTTACCCAGCAGCTGCATGTGGAGGAGCGGGGAAGCGAACCCGGTTCACCAGATAATGAGTCCACCGCTCTTAACCACTACACCACACTGGCTCTCTCACACAGAGTGAGAGATCAGCAGGAGAGGGAGTTAAGGGCTCCTTTCCCACTCATAAAGTGATCAGCCTGATGACTGAGGAGGAGGCAGCTTAAACCGCTATCAAGGCATTAGGATGGGCGCAGAGGTTTGTATTTGTAACTAAATTCTCTCTCGCTCTGTTTTGCCATCACCAAAATCAATGGGGTCTTGGAGGGAGGTTACTTGAGAGGGAGACAGATCAGCACCCCCCCAAGCTGAGAGTTAGCCACCCTGCTAGAAAACTGTGTTGAATTTGTCGTGGCAGGGTGGCTGTTTCAGAAGAGCGGTGCTTCTTTTACTTTCAGTTCCCTGCTGGTTATCTGATGAAGACAGAGGCGGGGGTGGGCAGATTCGCAGATAACAGTACAAGAGCAATTTCATATTCCTCACACAGCTCACGCAATATTCTTATCCAGAAAGAGTGCTTCGATGCAGCTGAGTTAGACTGAGATTAAGCATAAAGGCATGCCATTCTTAATACCAAGATCAAAATGAAAATGAAAAGTCCAGTACACAAAGTAGCATTTGTGGGCTGTGGGAATAATTGGTACCTGAAATATTATGCTTTCTTATTGATTGGAAGGACAGATAAAAGGAAGTACTTCTTAATGCGGTGCATAGTTAAACTATGGAACTCCTTCCACAAGAGGCCATGATGGCGTGATAGGAATTTTGAGGTCTTAGATATATGTTAAATGTTCATAAGTGTACCAACCAAGCACGTACATAGATCAGCACAGGAAGACCGACCTGGAACCATTTTTGATTCCCAAATGTTTTCTCTGCAAGGTCAAAGGAAAATGAAAAACCTCCCCATTGTCTTTTCCTTCACAAATCCTGTCTTAAGGGCACATTTCAGATATGAATAGGGTGTGAGCCTGTGACCTGGCTCAGAAACAAAGTATGTATCATTACAAAAGACTGGCCAGGCTCCCCAGGGTATCCAATCAAGTGAGCATTAACAGGTAACCTGTCAGACGAGATAAACAAGATAAACAACACACTCAGATTTCTGCTGTAGACCGCCTTTTCTGTGATGTAGGTATGATGTATCGGGGTGGTGGTGGTCTAGCCATGATGACTATGCTCTGCCACCACAGTTGGGGACAGTAGAACTTCTATTTACCATGGTCAGAAATACTCAAAGAAGGGAGGGAGTAAAAGATGGATAGGAATGTCTTCAAGCTGACATATTGAAGGCACAAATGCAGACAATTCAAAAGAAAAAAAGTGGCAAGTGGGGTGCTGCGGGGTTTTGTCCTGCTTCCTGTTGTTGTTCAACATCTTTATAAGCGACTTGGGTGAAGGAATTGAGGGGATGCTCATCCAATTTGCAAATGACAGCAAATTGGGAGAGGGAGCTAACACTGCAGAAGACAGAATTGGGATTCAAAATGACCTTAACAGATTGGACGACTGGGCCTAAAGTAACAGAATGAATTTCAATAGGGGCAAATGTCAGGTTCTGCACTCAGGCAGAAGAACTAGCTGCAGAAATATAAGATGAAGGGCACCTGGCTTGCTAGTAGTACATATGAAAAAGATCTAGGGGTCTTAGTAGACCACAAGCTTAAAATGAGTCTACAGCAGTGGTCCCTAACTAAGGTCCGCAGGCCGGATAAGGCCCGAGGGAGTCGTTTTTTCAGCCTGCAGCGCCCCCTGCCGCCCGCTCTTACCGCCACTGCGCTGCGTGGCTGCCCACTTCCGGGTTGGAGGAGGAGCACTGGAAATAGCTTGTGTGCATGTGTAAGCGTTATTTGCGCACGTGCAAGCGTTATTTCCAGTGCACATCTGGGTCGGAGGAGGCCCGTGCACATGTGCACAAGCTATTTCCGGTGCTTCCTCTGACCTGGAAGTGCGCCAGAAATAGCGTGTGCACACGCGTATGGGCACGTGCTCTCTGGCCTGCTGCGTGATCGGCGTTGGAGACACCGGCTCGAGGCACAGTAAGTTTGCTGACCCCTGGTCTACAGTATGAAGCAGCAGCAGCAGCAGCCAAAACAACAACAACAAAATCTAATACTATTATAGGTTGCATCAACAGAAGTATAGTGTCTTGATCAAGGGAAGAGCTCTGTTTCTGGAACAAGAATGAGATCAGAATACAAAACAACAAAGTTAATGAGTAGCCGGGGCTCAGATGAACTTCAAATCACAACACAAGGGAAGACCTCTCCTAAAGGGAGGACTTAGAACATAATTCAGCAACTTATTCAGAATTAGACAGTCCACATTTGGCATAATGCCTCCAACTCTGGGTATCGTAGTTTAAAAATGATGTTGATAGACTGGGACATCTTCAGAGGAGTGTTAAAGCTGTGATAAAGGTTCTGGAAAACAAACCCCATAAAGGAAAGGAAAAGCAATTGGGTATGTTTATCTTAGGAAAATAAGCAAAACATGTTCCAAATACCCTGAAGGAAAGCTTAGAGAGAACACAAGGGGTACTGTTCCTATGAAATCCAATGCAAGAAAAGCTGTCATTTTTGAGAATTGCAATGTAACTGGGAAATTCCTGAAAAATGATTGATGCTGTTTACGGAAAGAATCCTTGGATACTGGATTCCCCATATTTTGGCAAGGATAAGGAACATGACATAAGAAGACCCTGCTGGATCAAGCCAATGGTCCACTTACTCCAGCATCCTGTTCACAGTGGCCAGCCACATGCCTATGGGCAATCCACAAGTAGGGTCTGAGTTCATCAGCAGGTCTCTCCCTTATGAGTTCCACCAACTGATATTCAGAAGCACTCCTGCCTCTGACAATGAAGGCAAGATCTTAGAGGCACAGCCATCATGACTAGTAGCCATGGGGATGCCTCTACTAGGACTGTTGGTTTATTGGATTAATCTTACCTGAATGTGTTTTCAAATGATTGAATATCAACTGATCTTCATATGTACACATTAGGACGTAAACACTTGTTTTGAAGAGGGAAACATACTTCAATGCATGCATATATTTCAGCAAGAACCATTGTGGGAGGGCAGTCTCTTTAGAGAGAACGCTATTTGAAAAATATGCATGCCATCTGCAGTTTTTAAAATAAACATTTTTATTCAGGTGAATTAACCTTTTTAAAATACTGCTCAATTAATCCAGGATGTGGTTTTAGTGAGTGCAAAAGGAATTGCAACTTTATTAATCTAACCAATAAATCAACTGAAGCTTGCAGCCGCAGTCTCACCCATATCGTAAAGACATAAATGCTACAGAACTGCTAAGAGGTGGTGGAAGCATGGCAAGTTCTTTTGCCCTTTGCTTCAGATGGCAAACTGTCTTGGTCTGGTCCAGGGCACAGGTATATAGATGCACTGGTGGGTCACCAGCTCCCCTTCTTGATGCACATGCTATCTGTATTTGATTAACTAAAGTCACAGAAAAGCTCTTGATCTGGGCTGCTTTGAAGCAAAATGAAATGCATATGGCATAGACCATTCCAAAGGTGGCAGCAGCTGCATCTTGCATCTGCTGAGGTTGTCTTTAGGTCCTGAGCCTTTTCCGTGCTTCTGTGGCCTGTTCACCAGCCTTCTCCATGTGTCATTGCCCTGGACCAGGACTTCTCAGGGTGGGGTCTGGAAACAGTGACTGATGGCTGGTCCACAGACTCTGTGGAATCAAGAAAGCCCAGAGGAGAGATACTCACTACTGGAAAGCCCATTACTTTGAAGGAGACGAGCTGCAGATGAAGGCACCAGTCATTTTAACAGGTCAGTACTAAAAGGGTGGAGCATCCAGTCAGTGGCTTCCTATCATTGCTACAAAACTCAGCTAATTCCTGTGGAATCTTGCTGAGACAACTTGGATACTTGGCCTCAGCTGTAAGAACACTGTCCATGGTCCTGAAACCACACCTAATCCAAGGGACTGAAATTTGCCTTGTCTTGCACAGCCTTGCTCTCCTGCCTCCATTGGGGAACAGAAACCACTGACTTCCCTATGCTTGGACCATCAGCTCTCATCATTGTTGGGCATTCCCATAGATCACAACACTAAGTGAGTGATTGGGGATAGGGGCTAAAAAGAATGAGATGTAGCCTTGTTCCACCTTGCTCTTTCTGTTTTGGTAATGATGCAGATTGGTCCCACATTGCGCCAAGTAACTCATTTCGTCAATGCAAGGATTCACACTTGTACAACAGAACACCCCCCCCCAATCTATTCTGAGTTTCCTCTCCCACAAAACCTACAAAACAGATTTAGGGAGAGCACAGGGTACAGGGAGAGGAGAAGGGGGAGTTTCATTATGCAAACATAAATCCTTGCACTAATGGAATGGATGCATCGCATATTGCCCAGAGCAATATGTAGCAGCAGCAACAGTAACTAAGAAGTGGAGCTACTAGGGGGATCCCGAGGGCATGTTACTCCCCGTCTCCCCAAACCTGAAGTTGACACTGCCCATTCACAACATGCAGGTGACCACATGGTGTTGCGGCCAGGAAGCCATGAGCATCTAT